TGGACCGACTGCCCCAGCGGCTTAGCGGCCGCCCCTGACCTGCGCTCTGGGGCTTGAATTTGTTCTAAGTGTCCACGGTCTTTATAAAAAGGCCTGGAAGCCGGTGCGGTGGCCACGCCTGTGGTCCCAGCCCCTGGACAGGCTGAAGGCAGAGGATCCCAAGTTCGTGTCCAGCCTCGGCAACTCAGTGAGACTGTCTCAAAATAAAGAGAGAAGCCGGGCGCGGTGGTGCACGCCGGAACCCCAGCGGCTCGGGAGGCTGAGGCCGGAGGATCGCGAGGTCAAAGCCAGCCTCAGCATCAGCGAGGCGCTGAGCAGCTCAGTGAGACTCTGTCTCTAAATAAAATACAAAACAGGGCAGGAGTGTGGCTCAGTGGTGGAGTGCCCAAGTTCAATCCCCAGGACCAAAAAGAAACAAATAATTTAAAAAATAAAAATAAGAAGGGAAAGGGCGTTCTGGGGGTGTGGCTCAGTGGTGGAACCTTGGCTCGATCCCAGCCAACACTCAAGGCTCAGTCTTTTTATGCAAGGTTGGGGACAGTGTCCTGGCCAGCTGTCACCTTCCTTCCTGGGGCATTTCTTAGTAGCCTCCTTTTACAGAAGAAACACTATTGAGGCCGCCCTGAAGTCCCGGCTGTCCCTCAGCGACAGCCAAGGACAGTCACTGTTGGCCTGTGAGATGAGAGCCGTCCCCTTCTGCTCCGGGGTCTCAGGGGCTCATTCCCTTCATTCTCACAGCAGCTTTGCTCGTTTCCTGTCCCTGGAACGGAGCCCAGGGCACTGTACCACTGAGCTCATCCCCAGACCTTTTTGTTAATGTTACTTTGAAACGGTCTCACTGAGTGGCCTGGGCTGGCCTGGACCTCAGGATCCTCCAGCCTCGGCCTCCTGAGGAGCTGGGGCGACAGCCCGGGCCACTTGCCTGTTCACCGCCTTCCCCTTAGTGTGGGGGACGCAGAGGCGCCTTTGTGGGTGGTTTGGTGTTGTCCGAGTTCAGGAGGTGGCAGCGGGCAGGAGAGCCCTGGCCTGGGCAGAGGAGCAGCCATCAGAGGCCCAGGGAGAACTCTGGGGACAGGCTGTGACCCCCCGTCTGGACTTTGTTGTTAGAATCCACTCATCACGTTGTCTGAGTGGAAACAAAGCAGAAGTCCAGTATTTCCTGTCCCTGTCCCCTGCCCTGTGTCCCCTTTTTCCCAAGGGCTACATGGAGGGCGTATCCTCCTCAGGTCAGGCCTGTGGCCTTTTTATTTTATCTTATTTCATCTTTATTGATTCATCTATTTTTGATGCTGGGGCTGGAGCCAGGGCGCTCCACACTGAGCCGGTCCCGTCTCTATGCCCTCCCATTTTGAGCCAGGGCCCCTCGTGGTGGCTGCGTCTGACTCTGAACTTGCCGTCTTCCTGCCTCAGCCTGTGAGTCACTGGCCTCCGGGTGTGTGCCACCACCCAGCTAGCTACCACTTTGTTACTTCACTTTCCTTTCCCATTTTGGAGTGTGTGTGGTGCTGGGGGCTGAAGCAGAGGCTCGCCCAGGCCAGGGGAGCTTCATTCGTTGTCCGTGGTTCATGGTCTTAAGCCGGGGCCTTTCAGTGCTGCGCAGGCTGGTCTCGAGTTCCTGGGCTCCGGGGAGCCCTTCCCCGCGCCCCTGGCAGCTGGGCCCACAGCACGTGTGCCGCTCCCCTGGGCGTTAAGTATGGCACAATTGAACATGAGGCACATAAAGATCCCATGGTCCCCTGTCCCCACAGATGCTCCCCGACATCCCACACTAGAGCGGTGCATTTGTCACAGCGGTGGTCGAGGGACTGCTGGTGTCACAGTGTCCTCAGGCAGCCTCCCTACCCAGCGTGGGGCACACTCCCAAGCACACTCCTGGGCAGTGCTGCAGCCTCTGCAGAGCCCTGGGGCCCCTCGCTGCCTGCAGCGCTGGGCTGCGCCCCTGGCCTGGCCCTCCCGGGCCCAGCTCTCCCCTTGGTGGTGTGCTGCTCTCGGGGCGCATGGGGCGCTCCGGCCCCTGCTTGGCCCCTGCCTGGCCCCTGCCCTGCTGACAGCAGCCCCAGGGGCAGTGTTACTCTCCTCTCTCAGGAGCAAAAGTGGCCTTGCAGTTCCTGAACGCGTGGACTGCCGCGGGCGCAGGCCTCCAATCCCAGCCACCACAGAGGCCGCAGAGGCTGCAGCAAAGGGACTGTGAGTTCAGAGCAGCCTCAGCACCTTAATGAATCCCTAAGCAATTTAAGGAGACCCTGTCTTAAATGTAAATAGGGTTGGGGTGTGGCTCAGCGCCCCAGAGCCCCTGGAATGCGTCCTGTCTGTGTGACATCCCCGCCCAGGCCCCACCTTCCCTGGAAAGTCCGCCTGCTCTTCTGTCAGGACAGGCTTGGCCAGGCTCCCTATCAGATGGCCGGGGAGTCCCCTGTGGCCTAGGGCCGGGGCTTACCCAGGGAAGTTCAAGGCACCCCCCCACACCCCACACACACCCCACACCCCCGCTTCAGGGGGGTCCTTCTCCTGGGGTGTTCTGGAGTTCCAGTGCCTTAACCAGAAAAGGCCGTGGACTTCAGGAATGGATTCTGGGCAGGAGTCCTCCCCAGGTCCAGTTCAGACCCCAGGCCTCTGTCTCCTGGGCCACTGCTGCCTGTCCCTGTTCCCTTTTCCCTCCCGCAGCAGGGCTGGGCTTGGTGCTGGGCTTGGTGCTGGCCACGCGTCCAGCCCTTTTCTTCCTGTTCTCGTGCTGTCTTCCATGGCTCTGGGGCAGAGCTCGGGCCTGGCCCGTTGGTTTTGTGGTCTTGGTTTTTGTTTTTCGAGGTGCTGGGGATTGAACCCCGGGCCTTGTGCATGTGAGGCGGGCCCTCTGTCCCCTGAGCTGTGTGCCCAGCCATTGCATTCTGTTTTGAAGGGCAGGGCCGACGGCCACTGTGCTCACACAAGTGTCGGGGGGCGCAAGTGTTTCTGGCCCTGAGCTCACAGCAGGCGGAGCTGGAAGGAAAGGGAGGGACCACACAGGGATGGGGTGAGCTGGGGTGTCCTGGTGGGAACAGGGCCCAAGGGCCCTTGAAGTCCAGGCAGTGAGTCACCCCTGCCTGGGCTGGGGGTGCTAGTTTCAGGAGCATCCAGGCAGGGGCTGCCCAGGCCTGGGCCCCAGGGAAGTGGGCAGGGCGGGGCGGGCAGGCATTGAGCAGCTCTGGGGGTGCCTCCTGCAGCAGAGGGTGGGCTGCTCCCCTCATACAGAGGGTCCCACCCAAGTCAGTGCTGCTGTCGGGGACTCCTGACCACGTCTGGGACGTGTGGTTGTCAAAACTGGGGCAGCTCCTGGCTGGAATGGGGGACCAAGGGTATTGTGCAACGCCCTGCAGGGCCCAGGGTGCCCACCACAGAATGAGCCCACCCCACGTCCACAGTGCCAAGGGACCTGGCCGGGAAGAAAGTGGGCCAGATTTGGATCTAAGGGTCCAGGCTGAACCCAGACCTCAGACCTTGTCTGCCCTCGAGAGCGGCGCTGCCTGGTCAGGGGCCCACCTGTGATGCAGCCGCTCGGGAGGGTGCGCGGAAGGTGAGCTGGAGGCAGGAAGACCTCATCTCAGAAAAACACGCAAAGGCTGGATGAGGCTCGGTAGTGACGCACATGAAAATAGCACCAAGAGAGAGTGGCACTGCCTCATTCCTGCCCTGCAGGGGACGGCCAGGCTCCTAGGGGTTCCCTCTGGCTCCCGACCTGTGTTAGGTGAGTTCGTTAATATAAATGGCACTTTTAATTAACCACCGTTACATTAAATAATGAGTTATTAATAAGTAAAGGCCAAGGCTGGGCAGTGGCTCAGTGGAAGGGCGCTCGCCTGGCACAGGTGAGGCCCTGGGTTCCACCCTCAGCCCCACGTAAAAGTAAATAACATAAAAGCATGCCGTCCATCGATAAGTGTTAAAAACTGAAAACAAGAGTTAAGAGCTAAGCCCAGCAGGGTGTGCAGGCCTGCCATCCCAGCTACTTGGAGACTGAGGCAGGAGAATCTCAAGTTCGAGGCCAGTCTGGGCAACTCAGACCTGTCTCAAAATAAAAGGGCTGGGGGTGATAGAGCACCCCCAGATTCCACCCCTAAAACTGCAGTTAAGAAAAAGACAGCAAAAGGTCTCGGGTGCAGCCACCCAAAAGTAAGAATTAAGACCCTCCCACGGGCACCTCCTGTTGCACCAGAGCCTGGGTTCAGGTCCCTGAAGCCAAAGAGAAGTAAAACTGGAGTCCCCAGAGGTCCCCGAGCAGCAGTAAGAGTGTCCCTGCTGCGCTGGCCCCTGGACGCCCTGGTGCGGGAGGCTCCTCCCTGCCCAGCCCTCGATCACGGTGAGCAGATGGGAGGCACTGCCCGGGGCCAAAGCCACCGGGATCCTGCTGCCCCTCTAGCCAGACCAGCAGCGCTGGTGGGCCCGGGAGCTGCCTGCTGGAGAGGGAGACGCAAAGCCCTGTGTCCGGGCCTGGCCTCGGTGCTCGCAGGAGGGGCTCCCTGGGCGCCAGGGTGGCGGGCTGGGGCTGTGGGGTCCAGCAGTGCCCTGGCCTGCCCCTGCTCTACACCGGGGCCCTCCATTGTGGCAGCACAGACGTCCCAGACACGGCAGAGCTGCCCGAGGAGGCCTGTGGTTGTGGGGAACAAGTGAGAGCTGTGGCCTCCGATCGCCAGCCCTCAGGCTGAGTCGAGGCCGGCCCTGGCCCTCCCATGAGCCCGGGCACCGAGGGCATTGGCAGCTCCCTGGACAGATGGTCTTCTGGAGCATACACCCTCCTTGGCCCCTGAGGTGCATCAAGGTGGGACAGCTCCATGGGGTGTGGGATGACCAAGCAGGGTCCCCAGCTCGCTTCCTGTGCTGGCAGGGCCGCAGGAGTGAGGCCAGTCCACGCCCCACACAGCCACAGGCCCTTCCTGCTCTCCAGCGCCCGCCCGGGGCTCTAGCCATCCCTGGCTGTGCTGCCTCCTGAGTCCCTCCTCCCTGCAGAGACACCAGCCACTTCCTCCAGCAGGACGTCATCTTAACTTGTCCCGGCCTGTGACGTCTGCAGAGGCCTGCTGGGGAGTTGGGCCCGGCCATAGCTCCGGGTTTAGGGCTGAACAAGCCTTTCACAGACCTGGATGCGGCCCGCAGTGGGGGCTGGGATGGCTGCTGTGGGACGGTCCCTCTGGGGACGCGGGTGCTCTGCCATGGGGTGGTGGCCTACTACACTACTGGATGATTGGGTAGAAGGGCTGGATTTTCCACACAGTGTGTGCGGCTGGGGTGGAGCTCCGCGGCAAAGCGTCCGCCTTGCATCGCAAAGCCCTGGGTTCGACCCGCGGTTCCAAAAAAAGATAAAAAAAAAAAAAAAAGAAAATCAGCAAAAAAAATTCATTTATTTATTCTAATTTGTCAATTCTATCTATTTTAAGCCAAAAGAAAAGATCATCCAGAGGGTTGAGTGCGCCCCCAGGACGCACCCCCGACGGGAGCTGCTTCATTTGTTTTCTCTTTTTCTTGTTTTGCAGTGCTGGGGTAGAACCCAGGCCTGGAGCGTGCCGGCCAAGGGCCCCACTGAGCCCAGAAAAAGGACTAAGGTAGATTGGAAGGCAGCACTGGGGCTACCTTTGTTCACAGGGCAGAGTCGAGGCTTCAAACATCATCTGCCAAATAGTAGGGTTGCCAGGCCGGAGGCCAGTGTTGCACACTGATCAAGAAAATACAGAACAAACCTCTAAACTTGGGCCTCACCCCCCACAGTGGTGGCAGGATGTGGAAACCGCCGGAAGGAAATGGGCAACTGTGGGCCGCACCTCAGCCGGGGAGGGGTCACAGCAGTCAGTTGACTTAGAGGAACTATGTTATATTTTGTTTTTATTAAGATAGGAAAAAGGTTGTGTGTTTGAGGCAGAGGAATTTGTCATCTTACCTTTCATTCTTCTAGAAGCTTCCGAAGGTCATTGCTGTCTCATCCGTTTGTGGGAAAACGAGGAAAATCCAGAGACATCGCCACCCAATTCTGAGAAGGGTTGGAAGTACACTAGAAGGTCAGAGAAAAGGGCCCCGGAAGCAGGGACGGCCCTGGGGAGCAGGAGGAGCCAGCACGCGCCCAGCCTGGCCTTCTGCAGCCGGCTGTGCCTTCCTAGAGCGGCACCCCTGGGTCGTGGAATGGGTGTCCCTGATAGGACTCGGTGGCTTTGACGGGCCTCTGCCCAGGGGTTTGCAGGACGACATTTCACCCCCAAAGATGCTGCTGTCCAGGCTCTGAGGAGGCGGAAGCCAGCCTTCCACCCCCCCAGCTTCTAGAACAGTCCTGGCGGGCTTGGGTGGACGGATGTGAGGGCTGGAGAGGGGGCAGGCCTCTGGAGGGAGTCCGGCCTGAGCAGAGACGCAGGGTTGCTCGCCTTCCCTGACCCCAGCCCCAGTCCAGGGACGTCTCCTCCGAAGCTGCCGGTCAGCCCAGAGCCTGGTCAGTATGCGGCCACATCACGGCTCTGAAGGCCCTGGAAGGCCATCTGGGCCTCCGTGGTGGGCCCTGCTCCTGCACTGCTCTGGGCTCCTCCCGCCCTGTCCAGGTGACAGTGTTGGAAGGAACGCCAGCGCTGTTCTGGACGCGCCCTGAAGAGGCGCCGGCAGCGCAGGCTGAGTGTCTGTGCTGTGGCTTCTGTCAGCCTTGGGACTGTGTGCCTGGTGAAGGAGGAACTTAGGGGTGAGCAGGGCCCGGCGTCTGGAGGTCGGGGTGAGGCCTGTGGGCAAGCCTCTGCTGGAGCCCTGGTGGCCAGGGCACTGGGATCACGGGGGGCCTGGAGCTTCCTTGCCTTGCTGCCCTGGGGGGGTCTCCTCCCCGAGTGGCAGGGAGCAGCGAGGGCAGTGGTGGTGCAGGTGAGGGCCTGCAGGGGCCCTGCCTCCTCAGCCCCCGCTGAGTGCGGCCTGGGTGGCCGCGCCACCAGGAGAGACGCCAGACACCAAGGCCCAGGTGGCCTGGGGAGTCAGAGCTTTACAGGGACCCTGTAAGGTGGCCTGCCAGGTCAGCCCTGCTAGGCGCTGGGCAGAGAAGAGCAGGCAAGGGGCCTGTTCCCACCCGGCAAATCTGTGCTTGCTGCTGGCTCGTGGGGAGCCGCAGCGGGGCCCGGGGACCCAGCGAGGAGCCCAGGCCCTGGAGGTGGCTGCTGGGCTGGCGCAGCATCTTGGCCTGCACGGCCGCATCCTGCTCTAGGCTGTCCACCTGCGCGTGTGCTTGGGGTGCTGGTGGGTCCGCCTCCTTCTGACCTGGGCTCCCTCAGTGATGCTGCTGCCGGGCGACTCTGGGTCACGTCTGGGGACACTGGTGGTCTTCATGACTGGTGGAGGCCAGGGATGCTGCTCAACACCCCACAGAGCCCAGGACGTCCAGCCCAGGGCGCACAGTGCTGAGGGGAGGCCAGTTTACCTGTGTGTAAATGGACGTGCATTTCTCCCAGGAAGACGCGAAGCGAGGCTGGGGACAGAGAGGGCTGGGGATAGCGCAGGGCTGGTCGAGGCCGGCCTCGCACGCACAAGGCCCTGGGCTCAACCCCCAGCACCACACAAAACAATGTGAGGTGTGACGCCCTGGTCAGGTCAGTCCAGGTGGCAGGGAGCCCTGAGGCGAGGCCCAGGCGCTGCAGGCGACAAGGTGGGGTCCTCCCTGCCACGGCCCCATGCATGTCCCTGTGTCGGTGGCCAGCCTACACCTCGTCCAGTGCACTTGTCGTGGCTGTGCGGCCGGAGCCCGGCCAGTGCTGAGCCCAGGAGGAGCTGTAGCAGAGGCCGGCGCCCGGTGATGGCCTTGCTGAGGCTGTGGCTGAGTGCGTGCAACTTGCTGTGTAAAGTGTGCAAGTCAGCGATTTAGTGCATCCTCAGAGTTGGGTTCCAGAACACTCCATCCCACCAGAAGCAAGCCCCGCCCCTCCCACCCCTGCACCTGCGGGCCATGTCCCGTCTCTGGGACTCCTGTCCTGGAGTCTCCTGTCACGGGACACACGCTGTGACCTTGCGTGTCTGGCTCTCAGAACCGGGACCTCAGGTTCATCCATGCTGCCGCTATGCCAGCGCGTTCCTGCCCTGGCCGAGGACGCTCCGGGTGGATGACACGTCACGTCTGTCCTCGGTCTCTTGGTGGATGCCTGGCTCCTCCTGGCTGTGTGGCCTGGGCGCGTGAGCAGGATGTGCGCGGCTTTGTGTAGCAGGAGTCTTCAGCCTCTGTCCCCAGCACTGCAGTTGTTGGTCACGTGGGTCCTGCCACCTCTTGCCATGGTGGCTGCACCATGTCCCAGTGCGGCTGCCTGGGGGCCGATTTCCCCACGCCCTGCCACACTTGTACTCTCTGGTTACACTCACCCTGACACCCGCCGTCCTACCAAGAGTGCAGCTGGCTCGTCCCCTTTCCGGGGCCTGAGGCTGCAGCCAGCCTTCCCTCCCGGGGTTGCTCAGCCCCTGCTGTCCCACGTCCACCTCCCTGCACCCACAGCCCCAAAGGGGACCAGAGGGCCTGCACCTGGGCTGTGTTTGCCCGGGACCTGGGTGATGCAGCCGTGACCACATGGTGACTCTGCCCTGCTTTAAGCGGTGGCCGCTTGTCTCTGGGTTTCCTGTTGACACCAGAAGTCACCGGCTCTGGCTGAAAACGGCATGCTCTTCCCCGCAGCTGTGGCCGGGAGCTGACGCAGGCCTCGCTGGGCCGGACCCGGGCCACCTCCAGGCTCTCCGACCCGGGCCCTCCTGCGTCCTCTCGTGAGGACGTGTGGTGATGCTGGGCCTGGACAGTCCTCAACCATGCCCCAACTCACAGTTCTGACCTCTGTGACTTCCCCCGACTGTTGGGTGAGGGTCCTTGCCGTGCGCTGTCGGCAGGGCCGCTGGCTCTCCGTGTGTGGCGGGTGTGGAGCAGCCCCCAGCAGATGTGACGAGGACACCCACTGCGCCGCGCCCCAGCCCTTTTCGTGTTTTATTCTGGGACCGGGTCTCAGTTGCTGAGGCTGGCCTCAGCAATGCCATCTTCCGGCCTTGGCCTCCCCGGAGATGGGGTGAGGTGGCAGCGGTGCCCGGCTCCTGGAGGTCTCTCTATTCAGATGTGTAAGGTCCCCAGTTCATGTCCGCCTGGAGCCTCGCAGTGGAACACCATTTGGAAGTGCCATCTTTGAAGATGTGACTTAGTTGGGTTGAGGTCACCCTGGAGTAGCGTGACTCCCGTCCAGTGACTGCAGCAGGAGCTTAGGGACTACGTCCAGGGGTCCAGGTCGGGGTGGGCGGGGCTGGCCCCTCCAAGGCCCAGGCAGGGTCGTCCAGGCCCCTCCACGGCACATGGTCCTCGGTGTCCTGGGCTGTGGCCTTCTTCACATGGCGTCCCCACTGTGTCGTCTTACCAGGACACTGACTGTCACACCCCACTACTGTACACTCAGGGTCACCCAGGGGAACTGGGCTCCATGAAAGAACACACAGAGACAGAGATACTTTTTTCTTTGGGTCCTTTGACGGTTCCTCTGACCTGAGGGGTCTGTGGAGAGAGAGAGAGAGAGCACGTGCTGAACCCTTTTATTGAGGACAAGCCACTCAGACGAGGTCAGGGGCAGGTTACAGAGGAGCAGGTGAGTGCAGCTCAGTCCCCGGGGGTGACACCTACACCCGGAGACCCGCCCAAGTCACCACGAAGTGTAGGGATTGGTCAGAGCCTCGTGCTTCAGGACTGGAAGGCGTGGTCATTCAGAGCCGTTCCCACAACTGACCACTGGATTCAGGACCACCCAGTTGGCTCAGGGTCACCTCCTCCCAGGATTCGGCTTTCTCCCGTCCTCAGTGACCCTTTGTCAGAACCTGTGCACACCTGTGACCTCAGCAGCTTAGCAAGACCCCGTCTCCCAAGAAAATAGAACGGGGGCTGGGTCGCAGCTCCGTGGGAGAGACTGGCCACAGGACAGACTGAACTGATGGAGGAATTTGTCATCTACAACTAACACTGTTTTTAAAACAAAAATAAGAAAAATAAAAGGAGCTGGGGTGTGGCTCAGAGATGAAGCACCTCTGGATTTAGTCCCTTGGACCAAAAATAAAAGATCACCAGTGAAGGTTGGGGGTCCCATGTGGCAGCTCCTATGGTGGCCACCACCGGAGACCTCAGCTTGTCCTCACAGGCAGCCTCTGGGCACGGTGGGTCTGGCCCTCCGGGCCCAGCGAAGGATCCAGCTACCCCGGGCACCACAGGCCCTGCCTCTCAGTGTCCCCTCCTCTGGGGTGGCCCCGCTGTGCCACGTAGCCACGGGGCCACCTGTCCTGAGTAGCAGGCCCCAGTTGGTGCAGCTGCGTCACGCTCCGTGCCACCACGCAGATGGCAGGAGCCGCCGTGGCCCCACCATCCTGAGCCCTCTGTCCACTGTGTTTCAGATCCAGAGGAGGAGCCGTGGGCTGGGTGGCCTCCCTGGGCCTCTGTCGGCCTGCCTCGTGGACTGTCCGCCTGTCCTTGGCTGCGTCCCAAGACGGTGGTTCTGCCACCATGTCCAGCCCCTTCCTGAAGCAAGTCTTCAACAAGGACAAGACCTTCCGGCCCAAGCGCAAGTTTGAGCCAGGCACCCAGCGCTTCGAGCTGCACAAGAGGGCCCAGGCGTCGCTGAACGCGGGGCTGGACCTGCGGCTGGCCGTGCAGCTGCCCCCGGGCGAGGAGCTCAACGACTGGGTGGCCGTGCACGTGGTGGACTTCTTCAACCGCATCAACCTCATCTACGGCACCATCAGCGACGGCTGCACGGAGCAGTCCTGCCCCGTCATGTCCGGGGGGCCCAAGTACGAGTACCGCTGGCAGGATGAGCAGCGGTTCCGTAGGCCCACGGCGCTGTCCGCCCCCAGGTACATGGACCTGCTGATGGACTGGGTGGAGGTGCAGATCAACAACGAGGACGTCTTCCCCACCAACGTCGGTGAGTCCCCGGCCGCCAGGGCCCCGCGCGGGGCCAGGCAGGCAGAGGGCCGGGCCAGCTCAGCCCTGGGCTGACCGGGCTGTGCTCCGCATCCTGCTCCCCGCCTGCAAGTGTGCAGACCGGGGTTTGTAGAGGTCACAGAGCTGCACAGCTTCACCTCTCTGGTCTGATTTCGGAAAGTTCCTGGCTGGGCACAGCGTGGCCAGGCAGAGCCCTCGAGTTCACACAGCACTGGGCTGGCCCTGGGGACACGTGGGCCACATGTCCCACAAGAGCAGGGGGAGGGGTGCCCCTGGTGGTGGGGCTCTGCTGGCCTGCGTGAGGCCCTGGTTCATCCAGCACCGAAAAGAGCCCAGGAGAGAGCGGCCCTGGGGGCCCGTGACAGTTGGGGCACCTGAGGAGACCCTGCAGGGACCAGCAAGGACAGGGTCGGCTGCTGCAGGAGAGGCGCTGTGGCCTCAGCCTCCTGGGGTGACCAGCAGGTGGGACTGTGCCATGGGAGGGGACAGGGGTCCACAGTGTCCTCCTGCCTGCCTGGGCTGGCCGCTGCTTGGTCCCCGCTTCTCTCTGCCTCTGCGCCCCACCAGGTGAGGGATGGCTCTCCTCCCTCCTGTCGGAGCCTCTGCAGCCATGTGCACCTGAAAGGAGCCGGCACGGCCTCCCGAGCCCCAGCCCAGCCTCCTCCTGGCGGGTGGAGGCATCCCTCCTGCCTGGCCCTTCTGTGCCCGCCATCCCGCTCCCCAGCGGGCCCTCTGAGTGGGCCCCCCAGCCTGCCAGAGGCCACTGCCCACCACCAAACTCCTCTCTGCTCCCAAAGGGGAAGACCCGCCCTCGTGGCTTCCGCCCCAGGGCTTCTCACCAGAAACGAGGCTCGGACAGCTGGTGCAGAAGTGGCTGCAGAGGCGCCTGGGGTCCAGGGGCCATGGCAACTCGTGCCATGCGGGTATCTCGCCACACACTTGTGCGCCCTCTCGCCGCTCTGGGCGCAGAGGTCGGGCCTGCCCGGGTGGACCCAGGGGCTGTGGCGGCCTCCTGAGGCCCAGGGAGCGTCTTCGTCCCCTCCTCCAGCTCCAGAGCCAGCAGCACAGTGTCTTCCAGGCCCTCGGACCCCAACTCCCTGCCTCCTCTCCAGAGGACCCTGTGGTGACCCTCGGTGACTCTAGTCCCACCTCAGAGCCCCTTTTCCCACCGAGGCCAGGTGCACAAACTGAGAATTCTGACATGGGACGTCTGTGTGCTCTATTCAGTGACCCCAGGACCCAGAAAGCACAGTGCTGTCCACCTGCCGACGCTCTTCAGCTTGTGGGTGTGTGTTTTGCCAGGTGTGAAGGCCACACCCATGGCCCTCGAGCTGGGGAGGCTGAAGCAGGAGGCCAAGGCAGGAAGATGGCAGTGCAAAGCCAGCCTGGGCTACTTAGTGAGCCCTGAGTAACGTGGGAGACCCTGACTCCCAATCAAGTAAACAAGGCTCGGGGTGTGGCCAGTGGGCGCCCCCGGTCAGCTCCCAGCACGGCCGTGGACGTGCGGGCTGGACGCTGTGGCGCTCCGCAGCTGGCCGTGTTGTCTCTCTCTCCCTGGCCACGGCGATGCTCAGTGGCCCTGCTGGCATGAGTGGCCCCAGGCTGACCTGTGTCCAGCCCAGGGCGCCTGTCTCACCTCTGCGTCCTGGGGTCTGGGTTCGGGCGGTTCATGGACAGAGTCCTCTGGGACGAGGGGAGGGAGCCGTGGTGGGCGCAGCAGTGGGGGCTTCCGAGGGAGCTTCCTGGGGTCAGAGGCAGCCCCAGTGAGACCACCGGGTGGGGCCAGCCAGGCTCAGGCCACTGCCCTCGTTCTGGGGAAAGGGGCTCCTTCCTGGGCACAGCCCAGGTGCCTCCCCAGCGGCCTCCACTCTTAGCTGCGGGCAACAACGTCCTGGTGCCCAGGAAGCAGGCTGTGGGGCCCGGGGCAGGTCTCGGCCGCCCTGCGCCTCGCGAGTCCAGGCCGGGTGGCTCCGGTGGAGGGCACCCTCGGCCTGCAGCGTCCTTGCCCTGTCCCCCACCTGCCAGGCACGCCGTTCCCCAAGAGCTTCCTGCAGGTGGCGCGGAAGATCCTGTCGCGCCTGTTCCGCGTCTTCGTGCACGTGTACATCCACCACTTCGACCGCATCGCGCAGATGGGCTCCGAGGCCCACGTCAACACCTGCTACAAGCACTTCTACTACTTCGTCACCGAGTTCGGCCTCATCGACACCAAGGAGCTGGAGCCGCTGGTGAGAGGCCGCGGGGCTGTGGGGGCCATGCAGAGGGGCCTGGGCTCGGCCTCGGAAGGCTCTGGGCAGCCTGTGCCCACAGCCCTGGCCAAGAGGCTCAGAAGCCACCAGCCGATGCCACCACCACAGGAGCCAGAGGGAGGCGTGAGGGTCCGCCCCGCCCCATTCTCCGGCTCCTGGAGGCTGAGGAGGGCTGTGTGCTGCCCAGGCTGGACCAACCTGGGTAAGGAGAGTGATGTCCCTTCTTTAGTTTGGGGCCCAAACCCATGATGTGGTGACAGGGACCAGCTCCAGCAGGAAGGCCTTGAAGGGGGTCACAGGGCTGTGGTGCTGCTGGGCCTCTGGGGACGTGGGCACCGTTCCCTGCCAGACAGCCCACCAAACAGCAGAGGGCCCACACTTGGGGCCGCTGCACCGTCCCTGCTCTGGGTTCCTTCTGCCACAGAGCGCCTTCTGGCGGGCACCCCAGGGTGGGGCGCCCAGCAGGTCCAGGTCAGGCCCGGAGCTGGACCCTGCAGCTCCTGTCAGCGACTGTCCCACAGCCCCGTGCCCGCCCGGTGCCAGCCCCGCCCTCCTGCTGCTGGCTGGGGGGCAGCGGGGCTCGGGCTTTGCCTGGGCGCGCTCTGGCTTTGCCTGGGCGCGCTCTGGGACTCCTGTGCCCGCCGTCCAGGGTGCCAGAGTCCTCCTGTGCCGCCGATCTCATCCTCACCAGCTGGCTCCCTGCTCTGCCCTGCCGCTTGGCCTGTCCTCGTGGGCGTCTGCAGGTCTGACGTCCCGTCTCTCTCCACAGAAAGACATGACCGCACGGATGTGCCGCTAAGAGCCCGGGCCACCACCAGCCTCCGGGGCCTACAGGAGGGCATCTTTGAGTCCATGGCGTCTGTCCCTGCAGCTGAGCATCCTGAGGGCTTCGCACCTCATGGGGGCTGGCCGGGACACGTCCTCTTCCCTGGCCTCAGTCTCCTCCTCTGTCAAGAGGAGGCTGAACCTGGACTCTGGGATTTTGTTTCTTAGCAACCGGGAAAACCCACTGTGTTTGTGGACCTCGTCCTCCTGCCAGGTGGCGGGGCCGCCCACTGCCGCCCACCTCCTGGCCCTTCTCAGAACTGCCCCCAGCCCCGCCCTGCCCTACCGTGGCCTTCAGGCTAGTCCCGGCCAGGAGGGAGGCCGGCTCCGTCTCAGCCTCTCCCAGCCTCAGAGCCAGGGCTCTGCACTGTGCCCACGGAGCCCCCAGCCCTTTCCCAAAGGGGACAACTGGGCCAGGCCGGCCCTGTGTGGGGCCTCCTGTGCCCACGCACCTGCCCGCGCCCGGCCGGGTGTCCTGGTGCTGCGGGGCCCAGGCCTGAGTGCTGCAGGTCTCAGGGTCCTGCCCTCACGGTCTTTTGGGAGGGGCACCAGGGGTTGAACCCAGGGGGTGTCACCCGAGCAGTCACCCTGAGCCGCCCCCCCCCCCCCCCCGCTTTGTGTTGAGACACAGGGTCTTGTGGGGTCTCCCAGGCTGGCCTTCGCCATCTCCTGCCCCAGCCTCTTGAGTCACCAAGGTGGCGGCCGTGGCCACTACCTGGCTTAAGATGTTCTTAAAGGTGTTCTTCCAACTAGTAGCTAGTGACCCCAGGATGTCCCTTCCACTGCCACCAGCCCAGGAGTGGCCCCCCTGGATGTCTCCACTGACTGCCCGGGGGCAGGAAGTGGCCTTTTTTTCAGGTGCCTGAGAACTTTCTAGAGAAACCCTTTGTGCCGCCCCCACAGGGCCACAGGACCAAACCCAGGGACACCCCGTTTCCCTTGGAGGCTGTGCTGGGGCATGACCAAAGGACTCCTCACCTGGCCCAGCTCCGCCCCCAGCCACACCCCCTGGCCTGGGCCTCTGTGGCCCTTCCCTGCTGACCCAGCGCGGCCCCAGCCACAGGGGCTCTGTCCTCCCGAGTCTGGGAGGTGCTCAGCTGAGCAGTGCTGCTGACACTGTCCTGCCTGACCCCGGAGCTCAGGGAGCCACAGGACATGTCCCCAAGCCTGGGGGGCCACTGTGCCAGCAGCCCACGCACCAGGAGGTGCCTGAACCCCATGGCACTGCCCTGGCCCCACCCTGCTCTGAGACCATCCTCCCCCCTGGGCGCGGAGGACACGGGCACCCTGGCTGCTGGGTGTGCTGCCGTTTCCCAGCAGAGGAGGGTCTGGGGTGGGACAGCAGCCGTGGGCATCTTGTCCCCAAGGGGCTTCCCAAATAAACAGATGCATCGGGGCACTCGAGTCTCATGGGACCCTCTGGGCAGCGGAGGAAGGGCTGCTGGAAGGCCCTGCGGGCGCTGGGCTGCCCCCCACTCACCTGCCGACTGGGCGAGGCAGAAGCTCGGCCAGGTCCCACAGGGGTGACAGCTGGGCTGGCGTTGTGGTCTGCACCCACCAGCCCTGGGGCCTGTGCCTGCCAGGCCAGCCCTCTACCATACCCCAGCCCTCGGGCCCTCTCCCTTCTTTCTGGGGGGCTGGGGCTGGAACCAGGGCTTTGCACATGCTGGGCAGGCACCCTACCACGGAGCCCACCCCGGCCCCCTTTATTGTATTCTGAGACAGGGTCTCATTGAGTTGCCCAGGCTGTCCTGGCTCATGCAGCTCTCCTGCCTCGGCCTCCTAAGGTGCCCTGAAACTGTCACATGTAAAAAAATGTGGGGCTGGGTGCTGTGGGACACACCTGTCAGCCCAGCAGCTCGGGAGGCCGAGGCAGGAGGATCACGAGTTCAAAGCCAGCCTCAGTAAAGCCAGGCACTCAGCACCCCAGTGAGACCCTGTCTCTAAATAAAATGCAAAATAGGGTTGGGGATGGGGCTCAGTGGGCAAGGGCCCCTAAGTTCAATCCCTGGTACTAAAAAGAAATGTGGGGAGGGGGTGACGGTCTTGGAGCCTCTGTCAGTGTGCAATGTCTGCAGTGGCCTGTGCTGCTGGCCTGGTGGACAGGAAGAGGCCACAGTGAGGCCCTGGGGGTCGGGCGGCGGCTTCCTGGATACCTGGTCCTCAGCACCGCCCAGTGAGAGGAGGCTGTCACTGGGAGGGGCTCCTGCCCTGAAGGCCACACCTCTGTGCCACTCCAATGCGTCCTCAGGCAGCGGGGGCTGGGAGCAGGGGGCAGCCCACGTGGGCAGAGGACCAGGGCCTCTGTTCCTTCCTGGCTCCACCGCACCTGGGCCTCTGCTTGGTCAAATCCAGGGGGGAGAGCACAGGACCAGATGGGTCTCCGATGTGACCTAGTGATGCCACATGCTTAGCCACAGCCACCCCATCCCTGCGTGGGACCAGGCAGGCCCCACCCACGTGGCTGGACCCTGCGGGCGTCTCTGGTGCCCCTGGTAGGAGGTGGAGTGCACCTCAGAGCCTGTGCACACGGGCGGGCTCCGGCCTGGGCCTCACCCCAGCCTTCTTAGTGTCCCTGGGGGAGTCCCCAGAGCAGGTCCCAGGGCTGTGGGCAGGCCAGGTCCTTCTGGGTGGCGTCCTGGGCCCTGAGGGTGCAGGGCAACAGTCCCTGCCTCCTCCTCTCCAGGCCAGGAGCTACCCAGTTGTGACAGCCAAACATGTCCCAAGAGGTGGCCCAGGGTCCACTGGGGGCAGAATCAGTCCCATTTGAGAGCCTCTGAATCAGGGGTCACCACAGTAAACACAGCCCAGCGTCCACCGGCTGAGCCACTCTGTTCCTAGACAGGACAGGATGCCACGCCTGCCTGCCTGGGCAGCACTGCTGAGCGCCCTCCACCAGGGCTGGCCGCTCCCCTGTCCTGCCCCCAGTGCCCTGGGTCTGCCCCACAGCCCTGCTGGGTGGCAGCTCCTGCCGGCTGCGCCCTCCGCTCCTTCCTGATGCTCTGCTCACCTGTCCCTGCCCTGGAGGTCAGCAGTGCTTTCTTCAGGTCCAGTCCTGGCCAACAGAGGGCAGGCTGCCTGACGGCGCACACCTGGGCCCAGGTGCAGCTCACAGACCTGCCGCCCGCGCCCCACAGGCGCAGTCCAGGGTTCTCAGTGCACTGACTGTGGACGCTGCGCAACCGTGGCCTCCGCCCAGCTCCCGGACAGTCCACTACCCCAAAGGAAGCCGCGACCCATGAGTCTGTCCCCAGCCCTGCACCGCGAGTCCACGTCCCGTCTTGGCACCCTCCTGTTGCTGGGTCACACGCTGTGGCTCTCACTGAGCGCAAGGTCCTCAGGTCCCTCGGCGCTGCCGCTGCCACCGCGCTCCTGCTGGTCATGGGACAACGTTCCAGCACAAGGATGGGCGTGCTAGGGTGCGCTGTCCCCCGCTGGCTGGGCACCCCCATGTGTCCAGCTCCGCTGCTCTGCGCTGCCCTTCACTCGGTACTTCTGCTCACCTCCTGGGTGGCCGCCTAGGGGTGCTGCTGGGCCATCGTCCCCCTCCCAAGCTGGTTAGTGGGTGGAAGACAGGAGCAGCTGGCAGCTGCCGCCCCTCCCCTGGGAAAGCAGCAGAGGTGGCCTCAGCTCCAGGCCACCGGCCCTGTCACTCTGCTGCTCAGCCTCTGGAGACCAGCCCTGGCCTCCCGAGAGGCTGGAAAGCAGAGGAGGTGCGGTCAGCCCGCGCCACCCCCGACCCCTCGGCCCGGGCCCCCAGTGCTGATTCACCAGCTGCTGGAAACTTCTCTGGCCGTGCTCCGCTGCTGCCCTGGTCTTGACCTCAGCATGTGACCGGCACGAGGCCGCGGAGGCCCCACCGCCAGGTCTCTGGAGGGCCATGATGCGGGGAGCTGCCAGGGTCTGCACAGTGGCCTGCAGTGGCACAGCCCTCTGCCTCCGCCCAGCCTACACCTGTCCCCTGGGCTGGCCAGGCCATCTGCTGAGACTCCTGGGAACAGAACCTGGCCAGCGCACCGTCCACCCAGTGTCCTCCTCAGCCCCTGCTGCCCACAGGTGCTGAGAAGCCAGCCTTCTGGTCACTTGTCCACCAGGAGACAAAGGCCCCCTGGCACAGAAGGGCAGCCAGGTGGAGGCTGTGTTGGTCTCCGAGGCTGTGACCAAGCGAGGGTGACAGCACAGGGTGTCCTCTGGGTGACTCCAGAGCCCCTGCAGTCGCCCTCTACACAGTGCTCCTCTCCACCGAGCTCTGACCTCCTGTCCCTGGGTATCAGACTCCAGGGACCTCCCGGGTGGGCCCTGCAGCATGTCCTTCTGTCTGGCCCCAGGTCCCCTGGCCACCCACACTGTGCTGTGTGGAGCCTTGCTCTTTTTTTTTTTTCATCTTTTTCCTTTTCCCCCTGTGCTGGGGATTAAACCCACGGTGCTCTACTACTGAGCTGCATCCTCAAAACTTTTTTTAAATTTTATTTTATTTTCAGACAAGGTCTTGATAAGTTGCCAAGGTGGCTGGAATTTGTAATCCTCCTATCTCAGCCTCCCCAGTGGCTGGGATGATAGGTGTGGCCACCACACCCAGCTTGTCTTGCTCATTTTCATGGCTGAATAATACTCCGTTGTATGGAAGGACCACTTTTAAATTATTAATTGATGAACAGTTATGTGGCTTCCACTTTTGGGTAATTGTGAATAATGATGTTATGTACACAGGTGTATAAACATAGGTGTAGCTTTCCTATTTTAAAAAATAGTTTAAAGAGCTGGGTACCGTGGTGCATGCCAGTAATCCCAGTGGCTTGGGAGGCTGAGGCAGGAGGATCATGAGTTCAAAGCCAGCCTCAGCAAAAGTGAGGCCCTAAGCAACTCAGTGAGACCCTGTCACTAAATAAAATACAAAATAGGGCTGGGGATGGGGCTCAGTGGTCGAGTGCTCCTGAGTTCGATCCCTGGTACCTCCCCTAAAAAAATAGTTAAAGGAAATAAGGAAGGCCATCAGGGAGGAGGGAAAGGAAGATTCACTGTTGCTAGCTGCAGCCTGAGAAGCAGGGGAGACAGAATCCTGTCACTCAAAATCCAATGCTGGATGGGGCGGGGACTGTGGCTCAGCGGTGGAGCGCTCGCCTAGCACGGGAGGGACCTGGGTGACATCCTCAGCACCACATAAAAATAAGGCATTGTGTTGTGTCCATCTACACCTAAAAATAAATAAATATTAAAAAAAAAAAAACAATGCTGGGGTTTGGGGGGGCGGGCAAACTGGGCTCCAGCTGTTGGGGTGGTGGAGAGGGTAGGGCGAGGTCGGCCTAGCCATCAGAAGGATGGAGCAGCCAGCCGGCCATTTGTCACAGCCACAGGAAGCCAGCGCCCGCCAGGCGGCCTGCACCCACATAGCCCTGGGCGGGGCTGTCTCAGTTTCCCACGGCAGCTGTGGGTGTGGCCTGCAAGCCTAGAGACAGGCGGACTCCACCAGGGCAGAAGGAAGGGTGGCCGGGACCAGCCTGGGGCGCCGAGACTTAAAGGACCAGAGGGAGACCCCGGGTTCATCCCAGCACTGCAGAAGACAGACACGTAAAAATAAAGGGCCGGGAGTAGTTTTGAGGACCTGCGGGGGGCTTGGGGCCGTGGGGACTCAGAGCAGAGTGAAGACCTGCTCCCCCTGGGAAAGGCCTTTTCAGGGAGAGAGAGATGCCAAGGGATTGGATGTCGAGGTGCAGACATCTTGGAAATGAGGTGTGAGGTGAAGAGCAGGACCTCGAGGGCCCAGGGGCGAGACAGGTGAGAGGGACTGGTGGCTGGACCACAGCCGGAGGAGACGCTGTGTGGGGACAGAGGCTAGCTGCCCAGGCGGGGCAGGGGCAGATCCCCGGTGCGGCCTCCCGGGGTTCTTTGTATCAGAATTTCACAAAAGCACAAGTAAGACAGGAATGAGGCCCCAGCTGTAAGCTGGCTCCTAAGAGGACAAAAGCTCCAGGCTGACTCCAACTGAGGACAAAGGGGCACAGCTTTTACGGCATCTGCCATGGGGGCCACCTCTTGACGTCCTGTAGAGGTGGGGTCTCAGCGGCCCTGCGCTCCACCACACCTTGGCACACACCACGGAGCCTTAGCGTCGCATTGTACTCCCCACCTTGGGGCTGATTTTGTAAGCTGACACAGCCAATGTGACCCTGTCATGGCAGCGGGCGTTCTAGGCATGTGCTATGGCAGGGAGAGGCCCTGGTCGTATTTTCAGAGCAGGACAGACTATTGGCTGTCTCAGTAGCTTGGTGACCCTGTCTTTCTGGTTCTGACTTCTTGGTCTCTCGGCTGACCACAGAGTCTCAGGGTCAGCCTGCCTCCCCGACTCCAGCCTCCGGCCTCCAGCTATGCTATCTTCATCATACAGCTTTGAAGACCCAG